GGAGCCCTGTGGGGTCTGATATCTAGAGAGGGTCATTGACAGGTCCACATCTGCAGCAACAACTGCTGCTGGACAGATAATGGGAGTGAGGATTTTCAGATGGGTGTTGGGCATCACTGTGTACTTACGGTGCATGGGACAGGCAGGGTCAATGCTGTCTGTGGGACAGGAGGAGGGGCACACGCGGCCTTGGTGCTCTGAGGACTGGAGGCATACTGGCTGCCTGCATGAACTCCTCTTTCTGACTGATACCCGCTCCTGTTATAATGCTCCTGGCCTGCTCTGTCAACTGGGTACCCTGTCCCTTTAAGAGACAAGCCCCACCCACTCCCAATCTCCCCCTTTTCAAGGCAAGCTGATCTTCTCCTTCTTCTTCCTTTCTTCTCTCTCTGTCCATCCTTCTTCTGAAGAGGCAACTCTGCCTCTTCATTTACCCCTCCGCTCCTCCCCTCTATAACCCCTTACCTTTAAACCCTTCTCAATACCCACTAAATAAACTGTATCCAAGCTCTCTCCACATGGCATATCTGTGTGTCTTCCACCCGCCAGGGGACCTGCCAGGGTCACGGGTAAATCCTAACACCTCTCTCTCATCTTCTCCCTACCTTATCCTCTGCGGACGTGGCTTCACCCTGGCATGTGCAGGCAGATGGTGTAACTGTAGTTCAGCCCTGTCTCCTGGGCAAGGCATGAGGCCTCAGGAGGGCGGAAGTGCACATGAAGCTGAGATCATGACCCTCTCATGGGTGTTTGTCGTGGTTATTTATTATCCTGGAGGAGGCGCAGGAGTGTTTGCTCACTGGGAGAATGGTCCATTCCAGCTGGGCAGCGACAGGGCTCTGGGTGGTTTTCCAGGGCAGCAGCTGGGAGGGGCTGCCCCCATGGGCATGGGCTGGGCAGGAAGGAGGAGGTGCCCTGGACTCATTTTCTGCCATGCTTTCCTCGTCCACTAACCCTGAGCCCAGACCTGTGCTTGGAGCGTCACCCCGTTTGGAGAGCCCCTCCCCTCTTGCTTGCCTGAGAATACCGGCTTTAGTCTGTGGGCTAAAGAGCTGAGCTCTGGAGCAAGGGTTTGCAGAAATGGCTGGGGATATGGCTCAGCTGTGGGGTGCTTGCTTAGCATGGCCCTGGGTTCCATCCCCGATACTGAATAGGCCAAGCATGGTGGTACACACCTGTAATCTCAACACTTAGGAGGTAGAGGCAGGAGGACCAGGAATTTAAAGTCATCTTTGCAACATAATGAGTTTGAAGTCAGCCTGGGCTCCTAGACCCTCTCCTACCACCCCAAAATTAAAACAAAACAAAACAAAAACCAAAAAGCTTTGCAAGAATATCAGCTTGGTTCAGATCTCAGCTCTGTCCTTTCCTGCTGGCCAGGGAGCTTGGGCAGTGGAGGTGGGCAGGAAGGTGACTGGGTGGAGATGACAACTGCCAGCCGGCCCTTAGCCGCAGGACCAGGACCTGTGCTTGCTACTTCCTGTGCTCTGATAACACACAGCCAGGAGGAGGCTCATCCTCCAGCCTCCCTGTGTGCATGTAGTGTGCTCCTGGCATGTCCAGGTCCCTCTCAAACTACTTGACCTCACCCAGTAATGCCCGGCCCCACCTTGAGGTCAACTTCAAAGTTTACACAGGATCCGCTGTTAGCAAAGTCGTAATAGCCTCGGAGTTGGTTGCTGGGCTCTCTTGGGCGTGTTAGTCTGGCTGACTATGAGGTAATGCCTGGGTTTTCAGCATGGTGGTGACATAATTGCCTGGCACCTATAAGACCTGGGGTTGCATTTCCTGCACAAAGAAGGAAGGGAAGGAGAGAGAAGAGGGAGGGGAAGAAGGATGAGTAAACAGGTGTGTCATAGACAGTATATACTACCTTTCAAGCTCTGGACCCTGGGCATCACTATGCCTACTGTGCGTGGGGCTGAAGGTGTGGGGTAGGCAGGAGAACGCAGCTCATCGCCTGTCTGTGAGAGAGGAGGGCAAGCGAGACCTTGGGGCTGTGTGGGATGGAGGCTTGCTGCTCTGTCTTCTGCTCTCCTGGAACTGTCTGGCCCGTGTGAACATCTCTCTCCGACTGCTTCCTCTCCGTCTCTTCTCCCCTGCACTGGTGGAGTGGCCAAGGTCGGCAAGAGCAGGCCAGGGGATATTACTGTAGTCAGGCTTTGTCTCCCTCGGGGGTGCAGAAGCAAAGATGCAGCTAAGATTAAGGCTGCAGGAGATCGAGAGTCTGCCAGGGGCTACTTTCTCACCTATAGATGGTTGTCATCTTCTCGTGATCGGTCATGGTGGAAGGGGGAAGGGGCTGCTGGTAGCTCCTTATATAAGAGGTCATTGATTCATTCCTCCCATGGGTCTCTCACTATCTAATCCCCTCCCCAAAGACTCTATCTCCTCTCACTGTGCCCTTATGGGTGAGCGTTTCCTTCCTCTCTTCCTCCTCCTCCTTTTTTGAGACAGGGTTTCTCTGTCATAGCAATACCCCAGTCCCTGGTACCAACTTCTGTCTCAGTCACCGTTCTGTTGCTGTAGAGAGACACCATGACCAAGGCAAGCTTTACTAAAGAAAATGTTTACCTGGGGCTTGCTTATAGATTCAGAGGGTTATCCTGGTTTTTTGTTTTTTTTTTTTTTTTTTTTTTTTTTTTTTTTTTTTTTTTTTCTTCTTTCTTCGAGACAGGGTTTCTCTGTGGCTTTGGAGCCTGTCCTGGAACTAGCTCTGTAGACCAGGCTGGTCTCGAACTCACAGAGATCCACCTGCCTCTGCCTCCCGAGTGCTGGGATTAAAGGCGTGCGCCACCATCGCCCGGCGAGGGTTATCCTGTTATCATCATGGTAGGAGCATGGCAGCGTGCATGGTGCTGGAGTAGTAGCTGAGAACCACATCCTGATTCGTAGGCAGCAGCAGATAAAGAGACTTGGCCTGGCATGGACTTCTGAAATCTCAAAGCCCCCTCCCCCCCCAAGTGACTCATGCCTCCTCCAACAAGGCCAGTCTTTCCCGGATGTCTCATCATCTGGGGACTAAGCATACACATACATGAACCGATGGAAGCCAATCACATTCAAACCACCACAATAGATAGGGCAGCATAGGACTTTTTGTTTGTTTGTTGAGACAGGGTTTCTCTGTGTTGCTTTGGAGCCAGTCCTGGAACTAGCTCTTGTAGATCAGGCTGGCCTTGAACTCACAGAGATCTGCCTGCCTCTGCCTCCTGAGTGCTGGGATTAAAGGCGTGCGCCACCACCGCCTGGCGGTAGCATAGGACTTTGTGTGACACAGTGGGACTGGGGAGTAGCTGAGGACGTAAGTGCAAGCTTTAGCTTTAAAAACGTTTTAGATTTTTTTTATTTGTAATTTTATTAGGATATGTATTTGTGGTGTGTGTGTGTGTGTGTGTGCGCGCGCGCGTGTGTATGTATGTATGTAGTCTAAGGATAACGTAAGGAGGTCCTTCCATTGTGTGGGTCCCAAGAATCGATCTCAGGCCCTCAAACCTGGCAGCAAGCATCTTTACCTACTGAGCCATCCTCTCACCTGACCGCAACCTCAGCTTTTGAATAGTGGGGGAACACAGTCCTCACATCAGACAGACGTGGGCTTAGTCACCTTCTAGTTAGCCCAGTGGTCTGAGCGAGCAAGTGAGAGAGCCTGCTTCCCAGCCTGGATACTTGGTGAAAACTCTTTAAACTTTTCCAACTCGTGTCTCCATCTCACCCGAGAAACTTATATCCAACCTTGGATGCATAGTTGTGTAAATAGGTATATGCACCACACGCTTAGCCATGACATTGATTTATCAATCCCTTAGCATATGTGTAATTTTGCCAGTGGCTAAAGGCATGAACAGATTTTGCGTACTAATAAAGTGGATGTGCTTATTTAGTTGTTTATGAAGATTTAAATCTCTGGTAAGCACTGGACACAGCAGCACACACGGCAACTGTTTTTTCACAGTTGGTTGATTGTTTTGATCAGTGCTGAGATATTCTGCTATTTCACACAGAAACCCAGTACAAAACAGCGGAAGAATGTTTGTTTAAAACCATTGCAGGGGCTGTTAAAGGTTATTCCAGATCAAAAGTTATATTGTGATTTTATTGAAATGAAATTCAACTCAGTGATTTTTTTAAAATCAAACATTCAAACAAAATCCAACCCCAAAGAGAATACTTAGGTGCTGAAGACTGCGGGTGGGGGAAATGGAGTCTTTGCTTTCCATGATGAAACAGTGTGTTTCTTTCTATAAGAGCATAGAACTCTAAGCACAGTAATATGTTACAATTTGTAACATTAATAGTATTGAATCATGGGACTAGAGAGATGGCTCAGATGTTAAGAGCACTAGCTGTTCTTCCAGAGGTCCTGAGTTCAATTCCCAGCCACCACATGGTGGCTCACAACCATCTCTAGTGGAATCTGATGCCCTCTTTCTGGCAAAGGTGTATATCCAAATAGAGCATTCATTCATAAAACAAATCTTAAAAAAAAAATAGAGGCGCTGGAGAGATGGCTCAGAGGTTAAGAGTATTGCCTGCTCTTCCAAAGGTCCTGAGTTCAATTCCCAGCAACCACATGGTGGCTCACAACCATTTGTAATCTTCTGGCCTGCAGGCATACATACAGACAGAATATTGTATACATAATAAATAAATATTAAAAAATATAGAGCATCTGCTTTTAAAAAAAGAATTAAAAAATATAGTCTTGAGAACTGGGTGATGATGGCGCACACCTTTAATCCCAGCACTCAGCAGGAAGAGACAGGTGGATCTCTGTGAGTTCAAGGCTAGCCTGGTCTACAGAGGTGGTTTCAGGACAGGCTCCAAAGCTACAGAGAAACCATGTCTTGAATCAGAGCCAAGGTTTACTTTGGATTTTTTTTTTAAAAGGCTAGCCCAGCTTAGATGACCTGAGGGTCTAACGCTAAGCCACTCCCCATAGTCGCCATCCTCCCAGTGTGACGAGGAGGCCTAAGTTTTAATGACCCATCTCTCCACAGGGCACCCGCTGTGGTCAGCAATGGGGATGCTGTGGGCGCAGCTTTCTCTGGGGTTCGGCGCTCCAGCTGGAAGCGGAAGAGCTCACGTCGCAGTAAGTTACTCCCCACTCATTCCCACCCCCATCTGCCACCCACCCTAGGTAGAATCAAGATTGTCTCTTAGTGTCTAGGCCAAGAGCTGGCATGGGTGCTTGAGAGCCAAGGGGGCATTCATGTTTAGAGAGTTACCACAGATTTGTTGGCTGTCTGTTATGAACTGCCTGTTCACTGCTCACCAGAGCCCTAGATCCTTCATCCAGCTATCCCCCTGCTCCCAGAGGCTTCAACAAGAGGCTGGCCAGAGTTAGCTCACTGGTGGCTGGTCCAGGCTCTCTGTGAGGAGAGCCACACTCAGGAGCAGGTGGGTTCCCACACAAGTGAGAGGGACAGCTTCAGGAGGAGGAGGAGCCAGGGTCCAGTGGAAGTACCAAGGCTCATGTTAGTGATGCGTTTAGGGGTGAAGCAGGCTGCCAGTGCCCTAGCTCCCCCGAAAACCTCTGACAAAGTTGAATGATGTGATCCAGTTTGTGCTTCATCACTTCACAGAAGCTGGGTGAGAAAAAGGGGCAGGACTGGTGAGGACTGTTACAGCCATCCAGGAGAGGGGTCCAGTCTGGACCCACTGGAGAGTGGGATGGGTGGGAGGAAGAAGAGGGTATTGGCCACAGAGCCTGGCCAGGTTTTGGATGCTGCAGGACTCAGGAAGGCATCCCTTAGGAGCTAGGGCCTTTCTAGGAGGTCCAGGGGTCAGGATAGATTTCCTTACCCTACTCTGCCCATCCTGGAGCTAGGCTTCAGGGTAGGGCTTCCCTGCAGGTGCTGTGGCCAGGGTGGAGGTGTGTGGGTTGCAGGGAGGCAAGATGGAGGTCTGTGGTGGGCACTGAGAAGGTCAGTGTGCCAGAGGAAGGCAATGAATTGTGTCCCTGGTGGTGAAAGTGAGAATGCACGGATGGTTACCAGTTGGTTGGTCCTCCGTGGAGCACTTGGGATGGTCCACCCTCCACGGACCACTTGGGATGGTCCACCCTCCGTGGAGCACTTGGGATGGTCCACCCTCCACGGACCACTTGGGTGACCTTTCTTCCCTCTGTCACCAGTCGACCGATTCACCTTCCCTGCCCTGGATGAAGATGTAATTTATGACGACGTCCCCTGTGAGAGCCCAGACACCCATCAGCCCGGTATGGCCTCTTCTGATCTCCTTCTTGGCCTTATCTGGGACAGGGAGGGAGAGCTAAGCTTAGGAGGGTCTCTTCCCCTTCCTTCTGTCCCCAGTGCTCTCTGTCTCCATCTTTCACACCGCTGCAGACATATAAGCAGAGATTCACTATAACCTCAGGTCTGGGCAAACTGGGCGGGACAGGGTTTGGGGTCTTGGGTAGGATGATGGTAAATTTAAACCATGAGTCCCCAAAGACAGTCACTTCCCCAAACCTTGATTAACTCCAGGGAGAATGAGTTAGCGGTGTAGGCTTCCAGGGTAGTGGTAGAAGTGGAGAGATTATTTGGCCTGAAGGATGACATAGAGAGACTCTGCTGAGTTGAAGATGGAAGAGGGACAGGTGGTGTGTGTGTATGTGTGTGTGTGTGTGTGTGTGTATGTGTGTGTATTGGGAGATTGAGATGCATTAAGCCAGGCTGCTCAATACACATATGCATGTACATGTATAAATGTGCATACACACACACGAACACACACATATGTATACATGCATACAAGAGCACACACACAAAGTGGTCCAAAGCCAAGACCTTGTGCATGCTAGCTGACTCTTGGTGCTCTGGGACAGGGTCCTGCCAAGTAGCCAAGGCTCGCCCTGAGCTCACGTTTCATCATCAGCCTCTGCAGTCAACTGGGATTATAGGCACACGCCATCGCTCCAGGCTGACTCTTCACATGTTGCCATGATACCTGTGATTAGGGGTATTATGTCTTCATTTTAGAGATGAGACATTAAGAGGCCAGACTGGAATTCAAGTTCAGGGCTCTGCCCCTCCCCCAGGAGGATCTGGGTGGCATTTTTGTCAGATGGAGCACATTTGGTGCTCCTGCAGAATCGACCCCTTGAGATAGGCAGGGTAGGACTTGTGGTTCCATATGCATTAGAGAGGTCAAACCCTAAGCCCTAGATCACACAGCTAGAATTTGAATATGAGATGTCCTTCCTTCCTTCCTTCCTTCCTTCCTTCCTTTCTTTCTTTCTTTCTTTCTTTCTTTCTTTCTTTCTTTCTTTCACTTCATTGTTCTGTCTGTTTCCTGGGGGCGTGGATGATTCCCACCTAGTTGCGAAACATTACCTCTGCTTTTGAGTAGCCCTTAGTCTGATGGGACAGCAGTAACCATCCTTGGACAATACATAGTACCACGGGGAGTATACAGAAAATAACAAGGCCAGAGGGCCTTTGAGAATCTCCTGTCTCCTGTCCCAAGAAAAGGGACAGATGGGCCAGTAATGTGAGTGCCTCTTTAGCAGACCTAGGCCAGGCTTGCATCATTTTTACCTGCTTGCAGCTCACTGGATCCTGGGGAAGATAACTGATAGAGCTAGGAGGCTGGGGTTCGTGGGGGTGAAACCCAAAGCTGGGCAGTCTCAGTGGCTGACAGGGACCTCTCTTCTTGGTTTCTCATCTGAATAAGGTCAAACAGCTGATGATCCGGCCCTGGTCTTCTCTCTCCTCAGGTGTCACAGGGTCTTTTTCTAGGCATCCCCAGGATTTAGGATCTATCTCCTCGGGCAATAGCTGTGGGGGTAGCCAATGCAGAAATAGCAAGCCCAGCCTCTCCTTCTTAAGGTCACAGCCAGGGTGGCCTGCTGCTCTGTCCTGGAGACGGTAGTCACTAACATCTTGGCTTAAAAATAACCTCCCCATGAGTGGAGGTAAAGCGCTCACTACCAAACAGGCGGGGTTAAGTTTGATCCTCAGAATCCATGCAAAAAGGCTGGGCATGGTGTGATCCAACAGCTAGGGAGGCAGAGGTAGCCTCCGTGGGCTTGCTGGTTAGCCAGCACAGTCGAATTGGCAAACCTCAGGTCCTCGTGATAGATCCACGTTCAAAAAGCAAGATGAACAGTTCTTGAGGCAACACACATGCGCTCACATGAGTGCCCAATTGGGTCCTCTAGAGACAGAACACTCAACTCATTGTCCCCACTCCTCCGTCCAAGGCAATGCCTGTGGTCTTTGAAAGCGAGGGTTCCTCCTGGACTCTTGGCCAGCTGCGCCCCCTCCTGGACTGTTGCAGACCACATGGACTACACGGGAGGGATACAGCATCAAGGAAGTCCAGCCCCTTCCTGTGTCTTCCCATTGATGCTTTAGAAGTCTCCAGTCACCCAGGAGCACACTAGGGTTCCAGTTAGACTTGACTCTGAGGTTTCCTCTCTCACTGGGAAAAATGCCAAGTAGCGAACACCCTGCACTCAGAGGGGTGCCATGTTAAGAGAGGATTAAGGAGCCTTCCGTGCTGGGCATATTTCTTTTGTATTCCTGTTTTCTCAGGTCTTTCTCTCCTAAAGAGATGAGTGACATTCTGACATTGCCTCTCAGTCTGCCTGTCCCGTCCTCCCTTTCTTATGCCTTTACCTGCTGGGGTTACGGATCTGGGTGGCTGGGGTTCCGGATCTGGGTAGCTGGGGTTCCGGATCTGAGTAGCTGGGGTTCCGGATATGGGTAGCTGGGGTTCCGGATCTGGATAGCTGGGGTCTCCGGCTCACCAGAATGTCCCTGGCTGGCAGGAGCAGAACGGGGCCTACTTTACGAGGATGTGCACCGTGCTGGAGCACCACGTGAGGCCGAGGACCTAGGCTGGAGCTCCAGCGAGTTTGAGAGCTACAGTGAGGACTCTGGGGAAGAGGTCAAACCGGAGGCAGAGCCCACTAAGCACCGGGGGTCCTTCCAGCCCAAGGTGAGGAGCCTGGGGGGTATCTCTCAAGGTCTTGGCGGGCACCCAGACTCCTTCAGGAAGGGATGTGGGTGGTGAGAGCCGGGCACTAGACCCCCCATTTGGGCACCATTGCTTTCCAACAATATCTGGTCAATGATCATCAAGAGGCCTGGTTCATTCCAAGTCAGGAAGTGACCTGAGATCCTGTTGGCTGTGGAGGACCTGGAATGGAGGCAGGTACTCCCCTGTCTCCTGCATTTCAATGCAGACTAGGTTAGTTTATCTTGATGTTCATGGGCTTAGACTGGTCTTCAGAATTTTTCTCAACAGTGGTCCATGAAGCCCAGCCAAATCATTAGAGTTGGTCATTGGCTCATTGGTCATTGGCTTTCCTGCCCTACCAGGTCCATCTTCAGACCCACACAGTACCATTTGCCCTGGGGAGTGGACAGGTGACAGGGGTGTGTGAACAGGGAACATCAGAGCTGCTCTGGCCTGGCATTTGCTTTTTGGCTATCTGCCTTTCTCCTGTCTGTTTCACGAGGAGCCGCTGGGGATGGAGATCTGGTTCTTCCTCTCCTGAGCTGTTTCTACTCCTCTCATGTTCCATGCTGAGACTGAGATTCAGTGGGTGAAGCTTAAGGGTCCCCACCTGACTGGAGACGACTGGTGGACTCCTGTTAGACAGGGGGGTGGGTGGTGGGTGGGGCCCAGACTGGCTGGGAATTGTGACTAGCTCCAGCCGACTTCACAGACTTCCCTGGAAGGCTTACAGTATTCTTACCTGCCTGTTCCTAAGTTTCAGGTATTCCCAGGAGAGGAGTGCTGACCAGAACAGTCCAGAAAGCTTCTATTCAGCCTTGAGTTGAGCACGCCCAACTGTCTGTACCCTAGACTTCTCAGGAGAGGCCATAGGAAGTAGCTTAGCTCATTGACCACAAAGCAGAGCTCTTAAGACCCTATTGGGTACTAGGCCATCATCTTAGGTCATACGGGACAGTATGGGTCTAGGAAGACCTGACCCAGGCTTGGTGGACCTTTATGGTCTAGGAGGAGATGCTGTGTATGACGTAGTTTGTTAAGACTGATACAAGGACTTGGAGTGCGGCTTAGCTGTTAGAGTGCTTAAGGTTCCCACCCCCAGCACCTAATAAACCGAGTGTGGTGGTGTTCACCTACAATGCCAGCGCTAGGCTGGTGAAGGCAGGAGGATCAGAAGTTCAAGACTGTCATCCGTTGTTTATGAAGTTTGAGGCCAGCCTGGGCTACATGAGAACTTATGTTAAAAAAAAAAAAAAGATAAAGATGCCTTTCCGTTGATATGAACGGGTCCTGCCCAGCATGTGGGAGACCAATGGGATAAGGCTGAGGGCTTGTAAGGCCAGGTGAGAGTTGGGGTCAGGACTCTTGAGGCCTGAGGAGATGACCCTGAGGCCTGTGGGCTGGAGAGGCAGCCCAAGCTGGCCTGCGATTATTTCCTGTTTTCTGAAGGGATGAGCATATGTTCCCTTAGAGAAGAGGCACTGCACCACAGCCCCCCACCCTCACCCCAATTCCCTGAGTCACCTCTCCATAGAGATGTCTGGCTCTGGGTGGTGACTTCTTGCACCTTGGGCATCCTGTGGCCCTTCCTTATCACCCAGGGCCACTCCTATCTCCCCCTCCTCTGGGCTTTTGAGACAGGGTTTTTCTGTGTAGCCCTGGCTGTCCCGGAACTCACTCTGTAGACTAGTCTGGCCTCGAACTCAGAGATTTGCCTGCTGCCTCTGCCTTCCTAGTGTAGGGATTAAAGATGTGCACCACCACCGCCTCGTTCACTCCTGCCTTCTTGATGCAGATCTGAGGGGAATAAAAGGAATCTCTGAGGGTGGGAGGGTGAAAATGACAGACATGCTACCCAACAGCAGGCGTTAGCCTTGCATGGCTTCAGAGTCCTGATGGGAGCTGGTTGAAGTCACAGATGCTTGGAGTCTGCTCCCAGGGATGCTAACTCAGAGTCTGCCTTTTTAGCCCTCTGGTCCTAGGCTGTTCAAGGGATCTATGCAACTTCAAGGAGTGCGGGAGTGAGCTTATAGTGCAGTTTTAGGGACTTTTAACAGGAGGGCCTTTTCTCTATCCATCTGCTAAGGCCTGCATGCTCCCTAATGGCTGGTTCTTAGGGAGATGTGAGGGTGTGTGTGGCTTCTCCTCTCTGCCTAGGGATGCTGTCAAGCACTGCCCGTGGGGCTTCACTCTCCAGGGCTGCTGCCATCCCTGCTTTCTGCCTGCCACTGCAGCCACTGTGTGTTTCAAGGCCATTGCTGCTTGTACATGTGCTGTGTGCGCTGCAAGGCTCTGGATGGCAGGCGTTTGTGGAAGTTTTCATCTTGTCCTTGGAGTCTGACTGGAGCCCCAGCAACAAGCTAGCCAGTGGACTCCTTACTTTAGATGCCTAGGCCAGTCAAGTCTAGCCCAAAACAGTGACCAAAGTGTCTATAAAGAGACCTTCTTAGAAGTGCCTGACCCAGGTGTGGGCAGCTACCTTGAGCTTTGTTGGTCTCTAAGTGACCATTCTATTGGCCACCAGGGTTTGCTGGGCATGAGGTGGGTTGCTGTGAGACCCTCTCTCTCTCTGCCTGTGACCTCTTTGTAACCAGTCACTGTGACCCAGCTAGGGCAGTCTGGGAAGGGTGGGCTCACTCTGGCCTCAGTCTCATTGGGCTCAGTTCTGCCAGTGACCTTAGATCCTAATGCTTCCTTATTCTCTTGGCGCTCAGAGAGGTAAGGGGCCAGAAGGCCAAGGGGCTTGATGGTTTCAGGCTGTCGCCGAACAAGGCTCAAGACAGAGCCCAGTGTGCTGGGAGTGAGCTGTCAGAGTTGCTGACAGCAGGAGTTTCACGTATAGGAGTGAGGCTCAGAGAGGTTAGGTGACATGATTGGGGTCACACAGCCAGTGAATGACAAGGCCAGGACTCAGCTTCATATATGGGTAAGAGGACCTTCTCCATCTGTCTGTCTGCCATCCCTTCATCCCGCCTCCATCCATTGATCCATCCATTTAGTAAATGCAGAGGACTTGTTAAGAGATGAGATGCTAGTGACTCCTGCTTGGAACCATTACTAAGCTCTGGGCTTTCCATGGGACGTCCAGTAATGCTCTTGGCCATCTATGGAGCTGGATGCCCAGAGCGTCTCATGGTCACTTTACCAGCAAGAAAACTGCAACTTCAGAGAGGTCCAGAGACGTTGCTGGCTTGTAAGTGGGAAGCCAAGACTGACATGTATGAGTCCCTGCTCCATCTTTCTGCTAGTCTGTCTGTCTGTCCAGAAGTGTACCGTGTCTCTGCCGTCTGTGTGCTTCATCAGATGCCCTCGTGGCTCATACAGGCCGTGTACTTAAATGTCTGTTTTCTCATCTGGCCATTCTCCAGATAGCAGTTAAACCAGTCACCTCCCCCCCTCCCCCATTCATGCTTCCATGTCGTGGCCCCTCCCTCCCTCCCTCCCTCCCTCCCTCCCTCCCTCCCTTCTTTTCTCCTTTCCTTTTCTTCCACCCACTCACCTTTCCCTCCAGTGGAATGTTGGGGTGAGCTTGGACTAGCTTGCCTACATTACAAATCAGTGTTCATTGGTGCTACTTTGGTAGCGTGTGGCTGGCCAGGGTTGGGAGTTTTGTACTGTGGAGACACCGAGACACAGGGCTTATACCCCTGTGAACCAGTTGGTAAGTATTTATCAGTTCAGCAGTGCCTCTGGACATCCAGCCTTTGCTCCATCATCAGTTTGCCCAACATAGTTACCCAACCAAATATAGCCAATTGCTCACCTATCCATTTGTTTGCCTGCCCATCCATTCATCCATCCATCCATCCATCCATCCATCCATCCTTCCACCCATCAATGCATGCATCCATCCATCTATCCATCCACTCATCCATCCATGCATCCATGCATCCATCCATGCATCCATCCATCCATGCATCCATCCATGCATCCATCCATGCATCCATCCATCCATCTATCCATCCATCCATCCATCCACTCATCCATCCATCCACCCACCCCACCCACCCTTGAGTCCTTGCACACATCCATCAATCCATCTGTCTATGTTGTCCATTCATCTGTCCAGCAATCTTCTTTTAATCACTTATCCCTTTATCATATACCTGTTCATTGTCCCCACCCTGTCTTAAATGTCAGCCCATCCATCCCTTGTCAGCCTTCCATGTTAGAAGCCCCATTGTCAGGCCTGGGGTGAGGAGAAGACATAGTCGATATCATCCAAGTATCATTTCCCTTTTGCCATGAGAGGGAGGCCTGAGGTCACTTCCCTCCCCACTCTGCTGCCCAGCAGCTGGGAGTCCCACAGCAGAGAGCTTCAGCTGCCTGGCCTGCTGGGCTGGATCTGGAGGTGCAGCTTCCAGCCAGACGCACCCAGACTGCTATCCCATCTGCCTGCCCCAATTGTCCGTCTGCCATGTGACCTGAGTCTCCTTTTCCCCTGTTGTCTGTGTTTTTGTCTCCCTGCTTCCCGCCTGCTCTTCTCGCCTGCTCTCCTTCTGCCTGGCCGCTTGGGGCCCCAGCTTTCTCCAGACCTGACTAGGCTAAAGGAGAGATACGTCAGGACTAAGAGAGACATCTTGGCTTTGAGAGTTGGGGGGAGAGACATGCAGGAGTTGAAGCTCAAGTGCGATTGTAAGGTACTGTCTGCCTGTCCCTCTCTCCTGGCGCTAGAGGGTCTTTCTTCTGGGCCACCAAGGAGGGTGGGTGTGAGCCTGGGGAGTCCACCCTTGATTCTTGTCACCTGGCTGTACCTCATATTTGCACTGCAGGAAGGCCAAGCCATGAGCTAGCTATTTCTTCAATTTCCTGGTGCTTGCCTAGACCCTGCGCCCCACCCCACACTGCCAGAGAGATGCCAATGAACCACAAGAATACCCAGTGGCGTTTCAAACCTAAGAGCCCCTAGGATGACCTGGGGTTCTCCTTTAAAAAAAATCGCAGAATCCTAGCCAGACCTGGCAGCAATATGCCTTCAATCCCAGTACTTGGGAAGCCGAGGCAGGAGGATTGGGAATTCAAGACCAGCTTGCACTGCCTGAGAAAACTAGACTTCTGGGTGATGCTTTTGGCAGCAGTAGATGGTCTTCACTGAGCAGCACACAGCATGGGCCGTGGAACCCTGTGGATTTGGGTTCAATCCCAACCTCACTGCTTACCCAGAGTGACCCTGAGCAGACGGACCCCTTGGCTTCGGAGTCTCCGTTTCTCTGCCATAAGTAGTAGCGGCCCTAGGGTAGATATGGGGACTGGATGAGGAGGCCATTAAGGTGCTTGATGATACTTGGCTTTATAAACTTAGTGATGGCAGCCACTATAACTGTAAAGTCCCTGTGGCACCCAGGGATGGCTGTCCTTCCACCATCATTTAGTGCCAAGAGAACAGGTAGTGGCTGAGAGTCACCCCTGCAGTCAGCAGCAGAGCTGGGCTCGTCTGAGCATGGCAGGCTCGGGATGCTGCCAATCCTACAGTTCTGCCCACTGCAGCAGAGCCAGGGCCAGCAGGAGAAGGGGGAGAGACCCCAGCAGATACCCCTGAAGGTTGCGAGCCAAGGAGGGGGCAAGGAGAGGAGCTAGGAGCCTACAGAGGGTAGAACATTCGTCCCTCTGGCCCGGCTTGCGCTGTATGGAAGGGTGCCTATGCCAGACCAACTCAAGGAGCCTTCTGGGTTGTCCACCTGCTGCTCGTCCCTGTTCAGAAAAGTGCCAAGTAGAAAGGGCTCTGATGATCCCCCAAGGCCACACAGGGCTTCTGAAGATAGTTCCATTGACCCCCAGATTTGCATGTGGCCCAGAAGAGAGGTACACCCATGCGCAGTTTCTGGGGTTGGTGTTTATTCCCCGACCCCATTAGATTTTCAGAGGTGCTTATGACCCTTCCTACCGAGAGACCAAAAATCCTAGCTATGAATACAGCAAGGGGTGGAGATCCATTTCCTCTTTCTCCTGTTTCCCGAAAGCCAGTCTTGTTCCTAAAAAGCCTTTGCTCTCTGTTGGTTCCCAATAGCTTCAGCTCACTGTTCCCCCCCCCCCCCCCCCCCCCNCCCCCCCCCCCCCCCCGCCAGACTCTCAGCTCCCCAGGTTCTCATTCCTGGAGGCTCTCAACTCCCCCAGGCTTTAAGCCCCCCAGGCTCTCAGCACCTCCAGCCTCTCAACCCAGTCCCCAGACTCTCAGTGCCCCCTAGGCTCTCAGCCTCCCCCAGGGCTTTCAGCTCACCCCCAGGCTTTCAGTCCCCAGGCTCTTTGCCCCCTCAGCCTTTCATCCCAGCCCCTAGGCTCTCAGTCCCCCAGGCTCTCAGTCCCCCAGTCTCAGCCTGTCCCTCAGGCTTTAAGCCCCACCAGATTCTGATCCTGCCTCCCCCAGGCTCTCTGTCTGTCCTCACTCAGACCCCATGAAGAGAAGGGTATAGCCCTTCAGTTGGGAGCCAAAGAGCTGCCAGAGGCAGGGGCAAGGCCAGTGAATCCAGGGAAACCCTCACTTCCAGATTTTCACCTTCCTCTTCATCAGAGCCTGAGAAGGGAGGGGGTTTCCTGGAACATCCACGGCATGGCGGTGTAGCTCTCCCATTGAAATGGAATTGAGATTTCCAGTTCTCTGAACACGGCATGTTCAAAGTGCCCATTAGTGCCACGGGGACCCCATATTGGGCAGTGCAGATGCACCACCCTTGTGGAACACTCTGATCACAAATGCTGGCGGTGTTGAAAGTGTTGGGGCTGGGGCAGGGGCAGAGCAAGGGGGCAGCAGTTTTCCTCTCAGGTCTGGGTCCTAGTGGCAGGGTGTCTGCTTCCCACTATGAGCATGTCGCTGTCCTCTCACCGGTGGCAAGGCCTGCTTGGCTTGCTTTATTGGCAGCACCGGCGTGTGGCTTCTGTATCCTGTGGCCCCAGTTTTCCCTCCCTGTGGGCTAAGACTCGAACTTGGCTGTTGGGGAATGAGGGTCGGGCCTCCTTACCTGGCTCAGCAGGAAGGAAGTCAGTCCTCAGGGACCTTCCCAGAGCTGGCCTGTTCAGTCTCTGCTCACCTGAAAGGGTCTCTTGTATGCTTCTGTCTGGGGTTCAGAGAGATGTCTACTTGCTGGGGAGTGTCAGAGCTGGGGTTGGAACCCAGACCTCGCTCTTTCCCATCCTATCACCCCCTTAAGTAGAGGGTAGAGGTCAGGCCCTTTCCTGCCCACAGAGGGACCTTGGAGCATGAGCTCATCCCCCTCCCTGCCACCCCTGGCCTCTGCTGCTCACCCATCCAGAATAGATGGAATCGGGCTGGCTGGTTATGATGTCTGAACTGAGGTCCCTTGAAGGCAGGGGTCCCCGGCTCTGATGACTCCCCCTCTGCCTTTGCTCAGATGACCCAGCTCATGAAGGCCGCCAAGAGCGGGACCCGAGATGGGCTGGAGAAGACGCGGATGGCCGTCATGCGTAAAGTCTCCTTTCTGCATAGGAAAGACGTCCTTGGTGAGCAGGGGTCGCACTCGGCAGTGTGCTGGGGGTGGGGCATTCTGGGGGTGACGTGGTTGGTGCCTGGCCTCTTCCAAACTGAACCCTAAATGTCGGGGTCAGTCTCAGCTTGCTTCCCACACCTTTGACCGGTGTGGCCAGCTTCTTCTGTGAGCCATGTGGCTTCCCTTCAGTGTGTGGCCACGGCTGTCACTCTCCTGCCTCCTGGTTCACCTGGCTTTATCTAGAATGTTCTTTGCCCATCTTCCTTTCACCACTACTTATTGAATAGCTACTAAACGCTGTCCTCAGTGAACCTACCAGAATTTCTTCCAGGGGCTCCAGATGCAGTGGGAAATGACAGTTCAGACGAACTCTAGTCTTTCAGGTTCTCGGGGGAGTGTGGAGATAGGCATGGGTCGACATTTATGGCGTGTCTGCTGGGTGCCTCGCTTACAAACGAGGGGACAGGTACACATCATAGACTTTTCTGAGGGCATGGGATGATGGGGGAGGTTGGGGTGAGAGGTCAGGGCCAGGTCAGTGTGGCTCTATGGGCCTGGCTGGGCGCTTGCCCTTCAGGACAGCAGAGAGTCACCAGGGTTTTAGACAGAAGTGTCCCAAGGTTGGATTTGATCATTTGACCATTCACTCATTCTACAATTATTTACTGTGGACTACTATGGATATTAACCCATCGTCCCAGGATACAGCCATGCATGGAATGGCTGTGACTTCTCCCTGGTGCCAATGCTCTGGTCAGGGTGATGGGAGGCTTAAATGTGAGCAAATAGGTAATATACTGTCTAGTCACAATAGGCACTCTGGGAGAAAAATAGAGCTGGGGGTGGGGGAGGGAGCAGAGGAAGGGCTCTATGGCGTGTGCTGAAGCCTGCACCCTCTGATGAGGTGGCATTTCAGCATCTGGGGTGAGTCATGCGGGTAGCTGGGGGAGGGTTGGTTGGGGAAGTGACGCAGGTGGAGAGGGTCCTGTGGAGCCCTTTTGCTACTCACATCTCAGCTGCCTGGGCTTTCCTGGCTTGCACAGGCCTCCTGCACCTGCCAGCCCAAGGCATTGTCTGGGATCTGCTCCTGGTTCTTTTGCCCACTATCTACCTGTCCCGCCATTGTCTTGCTTTTTCTCTCTGTCCTGGCCACTCTTCCAAGATCCCCCAGTTCCATAGGCCCTACTCAGGTCTCCATCTCTTGCTTTTGATGCCCACCAGAGCACTGATCCCCTCTTCCAGATAATGTCCCAACTGGGGACCTCACAAGGTTCCCAGCAAGGTCCAGCCCCTGTGATGTGTTGCATCTTTGGGGACAACTTACAAGAGGACAAGGGGACAAAGATGTAGGACAGTAGGTTAATGGTCAGTGATGTCTGGGCAGAACGCTGAGGGTGCCAGACCTTGGGTGGGAGGAGGCCGCATCCGGGGAGGGCCTTCTGCTGGCCTCACACATGGACTGGCACTTTGAAGGAACATGGCTCCGAGCCAAGGAGAACCCACAGCGCCTTGGAAATTGTCTCTTGGAAATTGTGCATTTTTGCCATCCTGTGCTTCAGTTTCCTCCTTCATGCAGTGGGGCTGATAGTGGCTCCTGTCTCCCGAGGCCAAGGAGAGGATGACCATAGTGCACACAGAAAGAGTCTGACACAGTGGGCATTGTTCTTGGTGACTGTCAGCCCTGGTGGCGTTTGGTGCCAGTGTAGCATCACACTGCCTTGGGTTCCGTCGGTCTCTCTGGCCTTACAGTTTTTGTAGAGGTGACACCTAAACACTGGCTAAGCTGATCACCCCATGCCTCCTCTACCTTTGGGGGACACTGGCTACTATAAAGGAGTAGACAGGCCGGGTGACTGGGGACTGTTTCTGGGACACCCTCTCCACTCCGCCCACTAGCCCTGGGCCTAAAATGACCCTCCCCCAGAGGCGTTATTAATAGCTGGGCGGCTCAGATCACAGGCCAAGAATGTTACCCAGCAGCTCGTGGGGGAAGAGGAAGCCTAGGACACGGCGGCTGGGGTGGGTGCGTGGTGATGCCCGAGGCAGTATGTGGGCCAGGCAGGAGGGCCTTCACCACCCCCACCCTCACCCCCACGCTGTCATTCGCTGTCCGTCCTCCTCCTCCTCCTCTGTGTCCTGCTCAGGTAAGGGCCTGACTGGGTGTCCTGCTTCTCCGGCAGCTGGACTGGCTATCACTTCTCTTTTTCTCTGTCTCCCGCTTCCTGCTATCTGTGGCTGCCACGCGCACTGGAGCCTTTAAATAGCAGGGACTCATCGCCCTGAGCCTCTCATGGAGGGGGAGTTAAAGCCTGGGAGGAGGACCCTTCAGCATCCCACTGGGCCTCCTTTTTTCCCTTAGGGCCTTGGGTTGCTGTGGAACTTTCTCTGCCATCAGCTGAGCCCAGCCCCAGCAGGCTGGAGTCCTCATCACACCCAGCTGAGCCTGCTCCCTTTGGGGTATCTTTGTATTTTTTAAAAATGGAAATGCAAAGCCGATGGGTTGATTCTTCTTGGGCTGTATTTTCTTCCCACCATTTTGGCATCCAGATGAAAACTATTTTTAGTCCCAGTGATGGGGACACGAGTGGTTGGCCCATGCCAGGCTGGAGCAGGCAGAGTGGGCAGGTCTCAGCAGGGACAGTGGCCCTGTGGGGTGCTGTTTTCTCATCCCCCAACTCTCCCTCCTACTCCCCCGACCACAGGCTCTGGGGAAGCAGCCTTGGATTATAGGGAGCCTGGGAGCTGGAGCTAACCCATTGATTCAGGGGCAGCAGTTCCCGGGTGCGATCCGGGACTGTTTGAACGGTTCTCATCTCCTGGAGCCTGAGCAGGGTGTGCCATCCCCACCTGAGCTGCGCTCCTTCCCATTTGTCTTTCCAGGTGACTCGGAAGAGGAGGATATGGGGCTCCTGGAGGTTGGTGTGACAGACTTCAAACCTCCAGCCCCAGAGCTGGGCCCCATGCCGGACGGCTTGAGTCCTCAGCAGGTCTGTGGGAAGCTGGGCCAGCTGCCAGCCTGCTTGCTGTTAGCACCTGAGGGGAAGTGGCCACGAGAGGGAAGGGGACTTTAGTGGGAACTGGACACTGTGTGTTCCATACTGTGGGTCTGGAGATGGTAAGGTCCCAGAATTTGGGATGCTTAGGACCCGCTAGCCGCATGACCCCCAGAGAGGTGTGTCTCTCAGTCCATCCCCTGTGGTCCTGTCGTTGTCAGCTCCCCTTCTTGCCTTTGGGACCCTTCACACAGCAGGTACTGTTTCTGCTCCTTGGATCCCACACCCTTCCTGACTCTGTGGTTCATGCAGGTGGTCCGGAGACACATCCTGGGCTCCATCGTGCAGAGCGAGGGCAGCTATGTGGAGTCACTAAAGCGGATACTTCAGGTGACTCCCGGGGCCTCCGGGATGAGGGTGGGGCTCTGGGGGGTCACTTTGTAAAGAACTTTGGGGGATTGTGGCAGTTTTAGAAAAGGGGCTAAAAGCCAGTCCTGCTGCTTCTGAGGAACGGGACAAGTGGGGACGCCAGGGATTTCCAAGGCTTCGGTTTGCAGCGAGAGCTGTTTTCTGAAGCGAAACTGGGAGTCTCTGAAACAAGAGAGTCAAGGCGTGTGTTCCCTTTTGTGACTGGAAGGGACTGTGTCTTCCTGGCCATTCAGATAGTCCTCAAAGTATGGGTGCAGGGCAATGTCCCCTCTTCCTCACACTGGGATGCCCAGAGGACACTAAGGAGACATTGGAGTGACATGTTTGTGGACTCTTGTCTGGTTTGGGTCTCCAAGACCTGGGCTCCTCAGGGATGTCAGGACAAGGCCACCAGGGAGGGGAACAGGTGGTGTGGGAACAGTTTGGGACTCATATGAAGGAGCCCAGACATCATACAAAGTGACTGGAGAGTGTAGCTCCAGCTTCGAGAGTCCGGGGCACTGTGCTGATCTGAGACCCCACCGCCCAGCCACGCAGATGGTTCTGAGTTTCCCCATTAGCCAGACTTGGTCCGGAGCCACCTACCCAGAGTCCTCATACACAGATGGTGTAGAAATGATCCTCTTTCTCCCAAGCCAGCTTAACACAGAAGTTCCCAGGGCGTATGTGGTGTGTGTGTGTGTTTGTGTGTGTGTGTGTGTGTGTGTGTGTGTGTGTGGCATTGTGAAGTGACGGAGTTAGGGCAGAAATGCCACATTTGTGGAGAACCTTCTAGAAACATCCATGAAGAAGGCAGGATGCTTTTACCCGCATCAGGAAGGCCCCACTGGGCAGGTGGGTGGGCGTCTGCTCAGTTCTCAGCCTGCCTCATCTCAGGTGGCCTTGAAGATAGCTGGTGTCATCCCTGCTTCCATCCATCCTGGCAGGATTACCGTAACCCGCTGATGGAGATGGAACCCAAGGCCCTGAGTGTCCGCAAGTGTCAGGTGGTGTTCTTCCGTGTGAAGGAGATTCTCCACTGTCACTCCATGTTCCAGATCGCCCTGTCCTCCCGCGTGGCCGAGTGGGATTCCACTGAGAAGATTGGGGACCTCTTTGTGGCCTCAGTAGGTGTTTCTGCTTAGATTAGCCTGTCCAGCCTCCGCCCCCATCAGGTTGCCTTGTCAAAGTCAATGATATCAGAGCCCCTCAGTCATTGTGTCCTGCACTAGAGGTTAGGCATGACACCTTGATGTCCCCAAAGAGATGTACCAGGCCAAGACAATGTTGAAACCAGAGTATAGTAGCATTGTTGCCCAGAGACTAACCTCATTGGCTGCCCCCTGACTTGGTGCAGGTTCCTTACTAAGCCTTCCACATATGATCAGCGAGGCTTGCACATGCTGGCCCAGGTTGCATTTGTACCTCCAGGGTGAAACCTTAGAATTTGGGGAAGAGCCTATATTGTGGTCCTGGGGTCCTGGTTCTAGTTTGACTTTACAACCTCAAGTAGTTCTTAGGATGTCTCTGGGCTCAGATTCCATGCCTGTGGAATGAGAGGAGTACTGGATTTCTGCTTGTCAAACTGAAATCCTCCAACTTCAGAGAGGGAGCGGGTCAAGCCAGCTTTGCTGGGTTGTAAGCCTCTGGCTTCTACTAGTGGCCAGGATGGTCTTGAGAGAGCTTAGACGCGACATCCCAGGTGGGTGTGTCCAGGGGGCTATGGTGAGAGATTGGTTGACCTCTGACATCTGTAGCTTAGGTGTGGATGCTTCTCCCCAATTTCTTGGCCTTGGAAAGGAAATAGATGGAGCCCAGGCAGCGTCTGCCCTAGGCTGCCTTCTCTCTTGGGCGGGTTCTGAGTTGCTGTTTCCTGTTACCTTTCTTCCCAGCTCCAAGACTCTTTCTTCCCTGAGCAGGGTCTCGGAAGCATGATGTGTGTGTGTGTGTGTGTGTGTGTGTGTGTTTGTGTGGGGTGCAGCTACCTCTCCTGCCATGCTGATGCAGCTCCTCTTCCATTTCTTGCAGTTCTCCAAGTCCATGGTCTTAGATGTGTACAGCGACTATGTGAACAACTTCACCAATGCCATGTCCATCATCAAGAAGGCCTGTCTCACAAAGCCAGCATTCCTCGAGTTCCTCAAGGTAGCCTAGTAAGGCCATGCAGTCCGCACTCACAAGGGATGGACTTGGGGAGGTGCCTCAGGAGAAAGGGACCTCATCCTGGAGCCCGGGGAGCGGTTCCTAGGGTGGAGACTCGGTCTGGACCCTGGCACTGGATCCATGCCCTCAGAGACTGACAAGTGACACAGCCTTGTTCCCACAGCGGCGGCAGGTGTGCAGCGCAGACCGAGTCACCCTCTATGGGCTGATGGTGAAACCCGTTCAGAGATTCCCACAGTTCATCCTCCTGCTCCAGGTACTGCCTGGGACTCCCTGAGGATCAGGAGATGGCTGGGGGAAGGGAGGTCAGGTGGCTCGCTCTCATCTGGGGCCCACTCCTGGTTTGGGGTTTGCTTCGTCTTTCTCGACTTCAAGAGGGCAGCCTGTTGTGCTCAGCAGCATTTTTTTTTTAAAAGATCTGCTTTGTTTAGATTATGTATATGGATGTGTCTGTGTGGGGGCATGTGTATGTGATGCTGGTACCTTCAGAGGCCGGGGCGGTGGATCCAGTAGTGCTAGAATTACAGGCAATTTTGAGCCACCTGATATGGATGTTGTTAAATTGAAATTGTGCCTTCTGCAAGAGTTGGAAGCTCTCATATTCACTGAGCCATCTCTCTAATCCATGAGTGTGTATGTGTGTGTGTGTGGGGGGGGTTTAAAATGATCATGTGGAGGTCAGAGGACAACTTGCAGGAGTCAGTTCTGTTCTTCCCTGTGGGTCCCAAGGATTGAACTCGGCTCCCCAGGCTTGGTGGCAAGTGCCTTTTAACCTGCTGGGTCACCTCTTCAGCCCCACAGCCTATTTGACACCTTTGCTCTGGCAGGAAGGGGATACGACTTAGCCTTTCAGAACTCCTCAAGCAGTCTGCTGACCTCACCTTGGTCAGGTGTCACTTAAGTACAAATCCAGGAAGCCTGAAGGAGCCTCAGTCCCATGCAAGGCCCTGCGGTCAGTCCTCAGACAGGGTGACAACGGCCAGGCTGAGGGCCTGGTAGCATCTTTGTCTCTATCTGCAGAGCTGCTGTGCTGTGGGTGTGGGCTCTGGGCTCTGAGCACAGTGTCTGTGAAGTCTGTATCCACTGTCCACTGAGGCGGTTGCTGTTGGCCTGCCGCCTCTCAGTGCGCAGGACTGTGGCATCCAGCATGTTCCCACTGTGCAGGTGTCCCCGCCACCCATCTGTGGGAATCCCTCATCTCTCCTCACTGAAACGCTGGACCCAGTAAACGATAATTCTCCTCTCCCATCTCCTTAGCGGCTGACAGCCACTCCTCCCAGCAGCGGCTTTCTCGCCCTGAAATCTGATAATTCTAGAAGCCGCCTTGAAGTGACATTGCATAGTGTTTGTCTCTGATGATGCTGCGTCCTCAGCATTCAGCCCTGTTATAGCGTGGGTCACAGATGCCCTTCTTCCCAAGGCCTAGGGGTGACTCTTTTTTGTCAGAACAAGCCACACGGTCATTTTGTCTTTATTCACTAGGCCTTAACCTGTGCTTTCCATATCCAGTGTCTTGGTCCCAAGGATAAGCTCCATCTTTCAGGTCTGGTCTATGTAGACCATAGCGTGATGCTTTGACTCGAAACTGAGGGCCTCTGTGTGTGTGTGTGTTTGTGTATGTGTGTGTGTGTCTGCTCGTGTGTGTGTGTGTGCACATGTGTGGGTCATATCCTTTTCATGCTCTCTCTGGCACTGGCAGGATATGCTGAAGAACACTCCCAGAGGCCACCCTGACAGACTGTCGCTGCAGCTAGCCCTCACAGAGCTGGAGACACTGGCTGAGAAGCTGAATGAACAGAAGCGGCTGGCCGACCAGGTGGCCGAGATCCAGCAGCTGACCAAGAGCGTCAGTGACCGCAGCAGCCTCAACAAGGTGGGTGTGTGCCTAGCCCTTCGGTGCCCTGTGTTAACAAGAAGGGTGTGCACCCAGCCCTCGGTCACCCATGTCAACAAGGTGGGCATGCGCCCAGCCCTTCAGTCTCCTGTGCAGGGGTGCCTCGCCTGCCTTGCCTATTGCTCTTGCAGCTTGCCTGTTGTCATTTGCTAAGTGGCAGTGTTCTCTGAGGGAGGGGAGCTTGAGCCATTGGATAGCACATTCAATTCATGGGGATTCATGCTATTTTAGGATAAAAGAGAGTTTTGTTCATTCATCTCATTACCAGAAACCAGAAACCATACATTAGTTAAGTGAGTGGATTCTAAAATCTCCATCTAAATCAGATTTTTTTTTTTTTGAGGCAGGGCCTCATGTATTCCAGGCTGGCCTCATACTCATTCTGTAACTGAGGAGGGATCTGAAATTTGGATTCTCCTGCTTCTAATTCCCCGTGATAGGATTACATGCATGGGCTACCATGCCCAGTTTGTGCAGTGTTGGGGAATTGAATCTAGGGTTTTATGCATACCAGGCAAGTGCTCTGTCCACTGAACTACACCCCCAGCTCAATGCATGTATGCTTGTGAACACCTGTGGCTTTAGTACTTGGGACACAGAGGAGACAGAGTAGGAAGAGCCAGAGTTTCAGACTAGCCTGCGCTAATTAGGGAGTTCTAGGGCAGCCAGGGATACCGACAAGAAGACAAGGTCGGCTGCTGTAGGTTGCAGTTCTGCTCTTTCCTGGTGCATGTGGAGCGTGAGTCCCTTGGTGTGCGTCCCTCACTGCCCCCTGCAAAAAGGCCTGAAGAGCCTACATCTGCCCTCGCGCTCACTGGCTGCAGGCTGGAGGTGGCCAGGAATAGTCTGCGGGTGAGGCGGCCTCACCAGAGCTTACTAGATGGTTGTTTCCAGAGAGGCGGTGTGGTGTGAGGTCACAGGAAGCGTTCGATGTTCTGGGGAGTCCCAAGGACAGAGCTGAGGCTGGTGGCGGCCTGTTCCTGGAAGGGGATTTCAGCAGTGTGGAGAGAATGCCCACTGTCCAGGAGGATGGCCTGGGAGACAGCAGCCCCTTCCGGTCACCATGCTGGCCAGTGTGGAGAACTCCCTGCTGGGGCGGCTGCCTTTGTCTACTGTTTTTCACCGGGTCATGGAGTCAGGCTGGGCTGGGTCAGCCTGAGCTTCAGGCACTGCCGTGCGTTGTCCTGCCCAGGTCACAGGCAGGCTGCAGGCCAGTTTGGGCCCACATTGTTCTTTTAAGAAAGTGGAAGTCAGCTGGGCGATGGTGGCACACGCCTTTAATCCCAGCACTCGGGAGGCAGAGGCAGGAGGATCTCTGTGAGTTCGAGACCAGCCTGGTCTACAGAGCTAGTTCCAGGACAGGCTCCAAAGCCACAGAGAAACCCTGTCTCGAAAAACCAAAAAAAAAAAAAAAAAAAAAAAGAAGAAAAAAAAAGAAAGAAAGTGGAAGTCATTGGCAGCATTTAAAAATTGGGACACACCATCAACCTCAGATTCGAGGAACTTTCTCTAAGGGCTGGAAGAGCTGGCTCAGCACCTAACCTGTATGGCTCCCTTCACCTGAGGGTGTTTGCCCACTTCTGTTGGGTGTCATTGCCACTTCTCACTAAGGGCACATGTTGGCTTGAAGGCATCTGGTTTGCTTCACCTGCCTGGGAGCCCAGGATCTGCAATGTGTGGCAAGGAGAAAGGAGGAGGGGAGGGCTTCCCACTCAGGATTGCACAGGGTGGTTTCCCCAGGGATCGTTCCTCCTCTGCTCTGGACTCTACTGACGGCCCATGCCCCAAGCCCGCTGTTTTATAGGGAAGGCATGAGCTCCTGAAGCCCCGTGCTGGCCTTTGTGTTGGAGAGGCATCTTCTTGCAGCAGTGTCTGGCAGGAGGAGAGAAGCCTGTTGGTACTGCCCTGGGAAGAGCTGTCTGCTCTCTTCCACTGCCCCCCTCCATTCCAACACCTAAATAGAGAATGAGGTGGTCAGCGCGACCCGTTTGCTGTCAGGGATAGAGGATGGGTGATCTGAGGCTTGGCTTCCCCTTCACTGAGTAAGGGGTGACCTGGGCAGGTATGGGTGCTGATGTGTAGAGGGTGTCAGCTGCGTACCGTGTCCCCCTGCTCTCCCAATAACCACCCCATCCAGGGGACTCTTTGGACAATCTGTGGCAGTTGAGCATCTGATCAGTAGCCTTCCTCTGGCTGTCATCCGGAGAGAAGTGGAAATGAAACCGGGAGGGGCAGAAACAGACCCACGAGCTGTTTAGAAACAGCCGACTCAGGAGCCTCCAGAGGGGTGCGGGTGCAATGGTTTTCTTTTTCCTTTTTAAGCTGCATAAGGGACAGGGCCGCCAGCCTGCAGCCCAAGGGACTTTGCTCTTCCCAGCCAAGGTCCTGGCAACCGTGGCTGCTTGAGTTGTGTCGTCTTGAGCTGTGTGTGCCTTGCTTATAGACACTGTGTGGAGAAGTAGGGCCATAGTAATGGCGGGGACTCCAGCGATTTTGGGGCTTCTGTAAGGTGGGAATAGTGGGACCACCCCCACTCCTATTGGCACTGCCACACAATATAGTGGGGGCAACGCAGCGGGGCTCCATCCTGCGTGGGGACTGCAGGGGATGCTGTGGGCGCTCCACACTTCTAGAATCGATTTCTATACCTTAGGGCTGCTGAGCTGATTGATTAAGTATGTGTGGATTGTTTCTGGGTCCTGCAGTGACCACACAGCAATGACTATGCCACTAGGACCCTGGTTTGTGCATTCACTTGAGGGGTGCTCTGGGAAGCAGGGTCCTCTTCAAAGGAGCCCAGCAGAGAGAGACTGGGACCAAGACAGCCAGAGTCATCCTACTCCAAACAGATTTCATTGGATCCTCCCCGACCTACTTAAAAACTCCACAGGGAAAAAGATATCTCTCAGAGGGATTCTGGATTGTTTGGGAGTCCCAGTGTAGTGGGGTGGGCTTGGTTGGGTCTTGGGGTCTGAGAGTCTTTGGTCTCCTTAGAGCAGGCATTGTTGACCAGCAGATCTGGGCCCTGCAAGGAATGATGTGGATCAACGCAGTTCAGCAGATCACAGGGAAGCCTTGGGGCTCCTTCCAGGTCACATGTCCCCAGAAAGCTGTGTCTCCCCATGACAAAGATGGTCTTGAACAGTAGCATAGACACAGGGTCCTCTGTGGGTACCCACTGCATACCTAATGCAGGGTGTCCTGCGCCTTCCTAGGGTCCACACAGTAAGGCCCTGGACCTGTTTAATGTGCTCTTCTGTGGCCTTGAAATTTGTGCTAACCTTTGAGCCCGCGTCTGCCTTGCATTGTGGCTTTGTGTATTACTTGACTCCATAGATACTATACTCATTACTTGTGTGATCTGATCAATGGAGGTTCTGAGGAAACCGAGGTTCTGACTGAAGTGTCCTGTGACTGCCCGGCTGGGGAGCATAGGAGCTGCTCAGAGATGGTGTTGGTCACTTTTGAACCTGTATTTTTGGTGAAGGTGGTTATGGGATCATAATATATGGGGTTGATGGCAGAAGCCAGCTCACCCAAAAAACAGGCTGCTGAGCTCTGCTCTGGCAAGGGTGGCTCATCAGGCTCTCAGAGTCTCCCTGAAGCAGAGAACCCAATGTGTGTCCTGGCCTGCTCTGTCTGGGGTATTTTGCTATCTCCCGACAGGTGCTGACTCTGGGTCATCCTTTTCCTCTCCCAGTTGCCCCCTTTGCTTCTCTTTGTGTACAGAATCTCTAGCCCCGGCCATCCTCAGAGTCCCTAAGTAGCTGGGGCTCACCTTGAACTTGTGCTCTGCCTGCCTTCACCTCCCAAGGGCTGGGATTATGGTGTGTGCCATCGCTCTTGCTTTATGTGGCACTGGGATCGGAACCCAGGACTTTGTGCATTCAAGGCAAGCACTCCGCCAGTTGAGCCACTTCCCAGGCCTTCTGCTGTTTCTGAGAGGTCTCACTGCATGGTCCAGACTGGCCTGGACCTCATGGCCCCGCCCCCACCCCAGCTGGCATTTGAGATTGTGACACGGGTATTGACCTTCTCTGACCCTTCCTTCTCCAGCTGTTAACCTCTGGCCAGCGGCAGCTGCTTCTGTGTGAGACTCTGACGGAGACCGTGTACGGAGACCGTGGGCAGCTGATCAAGTCCAAGGAGCGCAGGGTCTTCCTTCTCAATGACATGCTGGTCTGTGCCAACATCAACTTCAAGTAAGAGCCACCCCTTTCCAGGGGACCTTTGTGGTCTACTCTCTCCCCAGCCCCTGCCCTGATGAGGTATCAGATACTTCGCCTTCCTCTCACCTCCCTCACGCCCGGCTTTCTCCTTGGCCCCTAATTGATTTGGACTAGTCAGGGGGCATCCTCTGACCCCAGACTCCTTGTCATTCTCAGCCCAGGGCTGTGTGCCATAGATCCTGCTCTTAGTAGGTCTGTGTGCTACAGACTCAGCTCTTAGTAGGTCCATGTGCTATAGACTCTGCTCTTAGTAGGTCCATGTGCTATAGACTCTGCTCTTAGTAGGTCCATGTGCTACAGACTCAGCTCTTAGTAGGTTTGTGTGCTAAGACTCTGATCTTCGGAAGTCTCTGTCCTACAGACTCCACTCTTAGTAGGTCGATGTGCTATAGACTACACTCTTAGTAGGTCCGTGTTCTATAGACTCCGTTATTGGAAGGTCTGTGTACTACAGATTCTGCTCTTAATAAGTCCGTGTGCTATAAACTCCCCTCTTAGAGGATGAGCCTGCAACCTTGGAATTGAAGAGGGTTTTCCTTGCGTCTACCCCAGATCCCTGATGTTTTAGCCCACATAGAGTTCCTGTGGGTTCCTGCTTGTACCCCTCCTCCCTCAGAGCCCAGGGCAGTTTCTGCCTCTAGGAACATGGTTCCCATCCCGTGAGAGGCTATAGAAACACCCAGAACTGGGCTGTGGGCTTAGTCAGAGAGCAGGAACTGGGCTAGTGGAAGGAACGTGGCCTGTGGCTGTGTTGAGCTGCTGGAACCTCACGTTTGGCTGGCACAGGAGTCCACAGAAATGTCAAGACCTCTGGCTCACTTGACTGTTTGGGTGATGTAACATATGGGGCCACATTGCCTCAGGCTGTGAGAGCTAGGAGCTGGGACCTATGCTCTGCATCCTCTCCCTTACCCAGCAGGGGCGCTCACAGGTGTCCCTTGTGTGGCCCTGTAGGTGTAAGGGGTGGAGACTATTCTTTGTTGCACTCTTAGAATTCATGCTCTGACCTTTTCAGCAGGATCCTGGGAGAATCTCTGCTTTCAAAACCTGATACTTTAAGAGCCTGGGATATAGCCTGGTCCAGTTGTTAGTTAGAGGCAGGCCAGGAAGTGGCCAATGACTGTCAACCCAGGCCAGCTCTCCCACCTCCAAGCTTGGGCACTCACAGTGTCGTGTGTGTGTGTGTGTGTGTGCATGTGTGTGCATTTGCGTGCATGCATCTGTGTGTGTGTTCGTGTGCATGTGTGTGTCTGTGCGTGTTTGCGTGCACGTGTGTACATGTGTGTGTGCGCCCAGAGTTTTATTTATACTCTGCATCCAGCATCGGCTTGTACATTTCTGTTCATGGTCACAGAATGGATTTGGGAAGCCTTGTGGGTATAGATCACGGGTCCTGGGAGGGTAGTAAGCAGGGCTGCCAGGCTCATCCGCCCACTGTCATCTTGTCCTTCCATCTGCTCGCCCATCAGCTATATATGGAGCCTTCTCTGTGCTCGTTCCCTGCTTCCAGCCTGGTGGGAGACTTGGCAAGGAAGCCTCTGTCACAGATGATGTGGGTGTTCACTCACCCACTTGTTCATTCATTCATCTCTAATGTGTGTTTGTGTGTGTGTGTGTGTGTGTGTGTGAGAGAGAGAGAGAGAGAGAGAGAGAGAGAGAGAGAGAGAGAGAGAGAACAGCCAGAGTACAACTTTGGGAGTTAGTTTTCAAGTTTTCACTCTTCCCACTGTCTGGATTATGGGGATCAAACTCAGGTCACCAGGCCTGGTAGCAAGTATATTCATCCACTGAGCCATCTCGCCAATCCCAGGTACTATGAATCTGAAGTCCCACTATGTCCAGACATGCAACAGGGCCAGGACCACACCGCCACCCTTCTCAGTCCTGCGTTGTTCAGCGTTGAGCATGTGTGAAGAATGGGGTGCTAGCATTCAAGTTTGGGGACACTAGTTTGCAAATTTGGCTGAGTCACTGAACTTTGCTGAGTAGCAGTCTCCTGAAAGCCTGAAACCACTGGGGTGGTGGCCGGCAGAGTCCAAGAGATGGCTGGCTATCTGAGAAAGCCCCAGGGAGGCTTTCTGTATGGTTCTCCTCTGTGTACACCTGACCTAAACTGTCCCCATGCCGGCTGCCTAGGCTGGTGGCTTGTCCCCAGAGTCCTCAGCCTCACAAGAACGAGCCATCCAATAACATCTAACCTTCTTGTCTTTTCCCCAGGCCCTCCAACCACAGGTAGGTAGCTTGTGGCTCGGGGACTCAGGCATGTGATGCTGGTTCTGGGCCTGGGTACCCTGGTGCAATGCCTTGGTGTGGGTTCCCTGCACTGCGTGGCCTGGCTTGGATTGGGCCTGAGGTCTCATTGCTTGGGCTGTCTGGAGCCTGGCTAAGCTGAGGTGCTGGGAGCTGGAGCTCTATTTGCCTCTGGGCTGGGCTGCTGCAGGTTCTCCAGTGCTCTTCTTCCATCCTGCAGGGGCCAGCTAGAGATCAGCAGCCTGGTGCCTCTGGGGCCCAAGTATGTGGTGAAGTGGAACACAGCGCTGCCCCAGGTGCAGGTCGTGGAGGTGGGTCAGGATGGCGGGGCCTACGACAAGGACAATCTGCTCATCCAGCATGCAGGTGCCAAGAAGGCCACGGCTGCAGGGCAGGCCCAGAGTGAGTACTGCCTGGCTGCTGCCCCTCGCATGCTAAGCATGTAACCTGGGCCAGGGACCATAAGCTGGCGGGGGCTGGGCCTGCCCCTCGCATGCTAAGCATGTAACCTGCCAGGGCCCATAAGCTGGTGGGGGCTGGGCCTGGAGGGTCTTGCTGTTGTACCTCAGTGCAGATCTGTGGCTTCACGGGCACAGGCATGTCCCTGTGGTCTCATTGCTGCTGCACACCCTACACACGTTCCCCACCCGGTGCTAGGGTCCCTCATGCCCAGCTCACATAGCGACAGGGGCCAGGTGTGAATTGACAGTTAATTGCCTCCTGTGGGACCTTGGACGGGGACCTTCTGTTTGTTCCCACTGTGCCTCCTGGTAGGTTGAGGGACTAGAGATACTCCTCTTACCCCCTGATCTCCAGGGGTGCTAGGGAACTCAGGTCTGTCTGTCTGTCCTTTCCTGGGCCCATGTCTCCCCATACTAACCCAAGTTCTCAGACTCTTGGAAGACGGGAACAACTTAGAAGCCAGAGCCTCCTGCCTGGTCGCATCTCCCTATCTGTTCTCTGCCTGCACACTGGTCCACCACCACTGTGCATCTGTCCTGCAGTGGCCTCTGACTGCTTTTCTCCTTTGTCCCCTGAGTCCCCCTGTACCTTCCCCCGAGTTTATTTCAGATGGAGTATATGTTTGTAGTACGGTACTACCACCTCACTGCTCTGATGCACTATGTCTAGAGACCCGTGTGCTCCTCTGATGTGGCTCCGTAGCCTCTCTGGGTCTTGGCAAGGGGGTGTACCACCTTTGTCTGTAGGGTCTTCCCCAGTCCGTGCCTTTCTTGCTGTTTGAATTAAGGATGCCTGCCCTTCCTCCTGTCCCATGCCAGTCTCTCTGATGGCCTGAGCTTGGGCCAGAGCCCCATCATGGACTCTCTAGGTCTCAGGCTGAGTTTTTTGAGGTTGCCCCATTCCTCACGGTGGGGAGGGCATGATGGTAGGTGTGTTCTGCAACTGGTCACATCGCATTCATAGTTCGGGAGCAAAGAGAGGTGGAGTTGGTGCTGGGTTTGCTTTCTCCTATTTGGCCCAGGGCCCCAGCCTTTGGGGCAGTACTGCCCACATTCAATCAGAATGGGTCTACCCACTTCAGTTAACGTAATCTCCTCACAAAGCTCAGAGGGGTGTCTCCTAGACGATTCTAGATCCTGTGAAGTTGGCAGCATTCATCATGACTGACAGTTGGTTGCATGGAACTTTGGTTTCAGCCAGGGCCTTGGGCCCTGGGACACTAAACCGCAGGCCTGGCAGAGCAGAGTCCTGCATACAGTGCGAGGCACTTGAGTTTCGCTTCCCCTCCCCACCACCGCTCTGCCCACAGCCCCGCCTGGGCGCTTGCCTCACTGGCCCCCGAAACTCTGGAAATTTTGAGGCATGATTGCGACAGCTGTTCTGGCCCTCTGAGGCCACACCAGTGTCCCCTTCCTGATCTGTGAGTGAGGCGGGAGAGGTGGGTAGCCCCTCTTGGGTACCTTCAACCCCATTCGACTCCCTTCTTCTTGGCCACCCCAGTCTGTTGCTATGGAAACCCCTGTGTCCCCCACTCTGTCCCTCTGCAGCCATGTTCTTTAAGCTTGACCCCCTTGAAAGGAGAGAGGCTCTGTAGTTCTTGGTTGGCTGTAGATTGTTTTTTTATTAATATTGTGATGCAAATATGGATACACAGAAAGCTCCTTGCATTTAACGCATGCTCTTTTAGACCTTGAACAACAGTAAAACCCAAACAAAACGCAAACTGGATAAAAATAACACTATCGGACAGCAAATAAAATTCCCATCTGCAGTATTAATTTGTTGCAACAGGTGACATTTTGTTTTGTTGAACCCAAACTGCTCACAGGATAGATGCAGCATATTTTCCCATGAGTGGGTCCCCACCCCTTCCCCAGCCCACATCCTACAGGGCTGCTCATGTGGGGCTCCATCTTCCCACCAGCGTCCATCCTTTGGGCATTTTATACCTGTTAGTGCATCGCTGCCGTTCCGTGTTCTCCTCTAAAGCCCTGACCCCATACAGCAGAATGTGACATCAAAGTCACAATATCTCGGGGGCCTGGGATGTGCAGCTGTGACCCAGAAAGAGGCCTCAGCCTCCTTACATAGCCCGAGAAACCATGACTTAGTGCGTGCCACCCTGTTCCCGAGGTGGCACTCAAGGACGCCTCTGCCCACCGTGTCTCCTCTGTTTGTGTCACCATCAGGGCTCTAGGCCCTCTCAGTCCCCACCACGGGCTCGTCACACTGGTACCTTTCTCCCAAGCATTTTCTACCAAATGATTAATGCCCTTCCCTCCCCTCCTCTCTGCCCATCCCCCTGGGTCCCAAGACCCAAAGGAGCGGGGACCCTGCCTGCACTGCATAGCAGGTCCCCTATATGTCATTGAACAGTTTGCTGCTCATGGGCTGCTGTTAACCTCGGTACCTTTGCACATGCTCTTCCCTGGCTTGGCCGTACCCATCACATTCTGGCTTGGAGTAGGCACCTCAGTTTTTCCAAGCATGGCTGGTTTAGTCTTTTGGCCCTTGTGAGCCTCTGTACGACTGTGGCACCATTCCATGTGCGACACCTTCCTTCTGCTGGGACCTCTCTCCCTGGTCAAATCTCCTCCAGCATTCCCAGTGCCTCTTCTCTATGGACATGGCTTACTTTTCCCTGTCGGCAGATGCTTACCTCCCCCAGCCCCAAGGCTGAGTCCGGTGTCTTCTCTACCAGACAAGGTGTACCTGGGCCCGCCGCGCCTCTTCCAGGAGCTACAGGACCTGCAGAAGGACTTGGCAGTGGTGGAGCAGATCACCCTGCTTGTCAGTACCCTGCATGGCACTTACCAGGTGGGCGTGGCATCCCTGCATGGTACTCCAGTGCACCCTGGCTGTGAGCAGGGAGCCGTGGTAAAGGCTGGGAACCCCCTGACTCTCCCAGAAGCCTTTGCACACGTCTGGCTTTGTGCGATATAGTTGGAGGTCTTACAGATCCTCCCTGACCTCTGCCCCAGGTTGCAAAGCCTCTGGTCAGGAGGGCGTCCCTCTTGAAGGAAGCGGCAGCTGGGTGGGCTCTCATCCAGGGCTAGGAAGTCCTGAGTATAGGTGGGATTGCCTCCTCTGTGGCTAGACTAGCCCCTTCCCTGGGTGCTGTCACTGTGTTAGGACTTGTGTGGTTTGGAGCGAGCCAGGAGACGGTGGTGACCCCTTTCCTCCCCAACACTAGAACCTGAACATGACTGTGGCCCAGGACTGGTGCTTGGCCCTGCAGAGGCTGATGCGGGTGAAGGAGGAGGAGATCCACTCGGCCAACAAGTGCCGCCTGAGGCTACTGCTGCCCGGGAAGCCTGACAAGTGAGGGGGCGTCTGGGAGGGAAGGGGGTGCTCAGAGAGAGAGAGAGAGAGCCTGGGGCAGGACTGCCGTGAGGAGAGAGTACACACCCCTGTGGACCGTGCCCCAGCCAGCACCTGGCACACAGCAGGAACTCAGGAATGAATGCATGAATGGATGAACATGTTGCTGACACCCTGGGTCAGCTTGGTTCTCTGCTGGCAAACTCAGACTCTTAGTCTCCAGTTAGTCCACTGCATCACACCCTTCTTCCTCACCTTACTCAATGGCCCCAGATCCTCTTCACAGACCCAGCCTCCCCAGTTGAAGGTCCTCTGCTCACAAGATCCTCCACAGGAGCTGCGGGGGCCCTCTCTCTCTGTGTAGAAGCGGGTACGAGGTAGCGAGGAACTGGGGCAGTGAGAGCTGGCCTTCCTCCAGCTCCGTAGGGTGTGCCTCAGTGGCCTCACTTTACAAACCAGGAATTGAGGTCAGAGGGCCAGGGCCAGGCTCAGAACAGGGGCTTTGCTTGGGAAAGGAGGTGGGGTCCCTGCAGAGGGGGTTCTGGGCAGGGAAGTGCTGCTGCTCGGGTGTGGGCCTCTGGGCAGGGGACGATAGTGACATGGTAACAGGGTGCAGAGACGCAGGAGGAGAGAGCAGGGTCCTCATGTCGAGTGTGGGAGAATGCAGTTTGGGCTTCAGTCCAGGTTGTCCCCATCTCTGCTCCTGTCCTCTCTCTCTCTCAGGCACCCTAGAGTGAGAGACACAGCTATGCCCACCTCCCTGGGTGCCTGCGTCACTTACAGGACTCTATAGGGGTCCCAGCTGCTCCAAGGCCACCTCCTACCATCTTATCTATCCCTCTCTTCCGCGGACACTTCCTTCCCTCCCTCCCTTCCTCCTTATCTCCCTCCCTCCCTCTCTCCCATGGACAGTCCCCTCCCCCCTCCTTCCCTCCATCCCTCTGTCCCTTCCTCTTTCCCATGGACAGTCCCCTCCCCCCTCCTTCCCTCCATCCCTCTGTCCCTTCCTCTCTCCCATGGACAGTCCCCTCCCCCCTCCTTCCCTCCATCCCTCTGTCCCTTCCTCTCTCCCATCTTCCTTCTATCTTCCTTTCTTTCCTTCTTCCTTCCTCTTTTCCTTACTGCATTTGTCCCTTCTACAACCATCTCACAGAGTGACTGCCCTGTGCCAGGTGCTGGAGAGAGACAGCGTGAGGTCCTTTCCCCCTCTGTGGAATGCTGGCAGGTGGTGATGCCAGGACCTTAGCTGGGCATAAAGCCAGGGCTGTTGGAGGTCTGGGACTGGGCTACCAAGAATGGCTTAGCTCCTCTAGCCAGGTGCCCCTGCCCATCACAGAGAGTGGAAGGAGGTCTCCCCAAGGTGCTGGCCACAGGCCTCCAGGAACAGGGATCGAAAAAGAGCCAAGGTGAACCAAGGCCTTCCGAGGCCTACCGGGGATCTGAGCCTCTCTCCCAGGCACCCATGGGGTCCTGTCTCATCTTGCCCTCCGCAGGTCTGGCCGCCCCATCAGCTTCATGGTGGTCTTCATCACACCGAACCCCCTGAGCAAGATTTCCTGGGTCAACAGGCTGCACCTGGCGAAGATTGGACTCCGTGAGTACAGCCCAGGGCAGGTGTAGGGAGGGAGGTTGAGCGTGTGAGCCCACGGTGGTCAGTGAGGCAGGGGCATTTCCCGGTGGGAGGGAGTGAAACCATGCAGAAATGCCTGGAGCTCAGCTCTGAACCTTGGAGCAGTCTCTTTCTCTCTCAGCCTCCCTCAGACCTGACACAGAGTGAATTAGCAGCTACCAGGGCCCCAGCGAGGGAGGCAATGCCTAGGGAGTGAGGGCTGAGTCTTCCTGGTGCACAAGGTGACGGCAGCCTGCCTACTAACCAGCTGTACAGGAAAACAAATAGCAGGCTGGACTCAGCTGATCTTAGCCGAAGGCCTCCTTAGTGCCCAGCATGGTGGCATATGCAATAATCCTAGCACTTGGGAGGCTGAGGCAGGAGGATTTGGGGTTCAAGGCTAGTTTTAGCTGCAGGGCAAAGCTGGGGTGGGTTTGGGTTACAGGAGACCCGGAGCTTAAAAAACTCATATAAACAAATAATAAACCGGAAACCTCTATATGACCGTTTCTGCCTATGCACCCATTAGTACTGATACAGAGAAGTCAGTGGGAGACTATAGAATGCTGCCGGGGTAGCAGATACTTGCAAACTTCCACATATGTCTACACCATTGTTCACAAGCTCCCTGAGCTAGGGCTGTTAAGAACTTTCTTTTTTAGTCATTGAGGACTCAGGCCCAGAGAGGTGCAGTGAATTTTGTGAAGTCACACAGCAGAAAGGGGTAGATGTAGGATGCAGACACTGGGCATTGTGCTCCCGGGAGCCCAGGCCATCTCCCTGTCCCTCTGTCCTATCCCTGCCACATTCCTGTTGGTTTTGCTACTTGGCATCTTGGTCAGTCAGAAGTGCTGTATGATAGACAGCCAGCTGATACTGGGATTGTTTCGTTACCTGCAAACAGAGACTGCACCTTCACTTCCTGACTGCCCAGACCCGAATAATCACATAAAAACTATATTAATTGCAACACTGCTTGGTCAATGGCTCAGGCATATTCCTAGCTAGCTCTTATATCTTAAATTAACCTGTCTCTATTAATCTATGTATTGCCACAAGGCTGTGCCTTACTGTTAAGGTTTTGGCGTCGGCAGCAGCATGGCATCTCTTTGGCTCCGCCTTCTTTTTCCCTGAATTTAGTTTTCCCAGCTATATTCTGCCCTAACATAGGCCAAAGCAGCTTCCTTATTAATCAGTGATAGTAAATAATATCCACAGCATACACAGGACTCTCACATCATTTATCTTTACTGTGTATAAATGTGCTTTTTAATATTTATCTTATGTGTGGGTTTTATGTCTATGCACCACATGCATGCAGGGTCCTCAGAGGCCAGAAAAAGGCATCAGATCACCGGGAACTGAAGTCACAGATGGTTGTGAGCCATCATGTGGGTGCTGAGAACCGAACCTGGGTCCTCTGGGAAAGTGGGCAGTGCTCTTAATCACTGAGCCACCTCACCAACTCCCCACTTTTTTTTTCTGGGGCTCATTAACTGAGCTAGACTGGACAGCCAGCAAGCCTGAGGGATCTCTGCCTCTTTCACTTAAACGCTGCAATTGCAAGCACAGGCAACCGTTCCCAACTTGTTTGTTTCGAGGCAGGGTCTCCCCATGTAGCTGGAACTCCCTCACTATGGAGACCAGGCTGGCCTTGAAGTTACAAAGATCCACCTGCCTCTGCTTCCCATGTGCTGGGATGAAAGGTGTGTGCCACTACACCTGGGTTTCCCAGCTTTGTTGTTGTTGTTGTTCTTTCTTTTTCTTTTGGTTTTTCAAGACAAGGTTTCTTTGTAGCTTTGGACCCTGTCCTGGAGCTCACTTTGTAGACCAGGCTGGCCTCGAACTCACAGAGATCCGTCTGTCTCTGCCTCCCAAATGCTGGGATTTTATAAAGGCATGCGCTGCCACCACCAGCTGGCTTTTCTTTCTTTCTTTCTTTCTTTCTTTCTTTCTTTCTTTCTTCCTTTCTTTCTTTCTTTCTTTCTTTCTTTTAAAATTTATTTATTTATTATGTATACAACATTCTGCCTCGATGTATGCCCGCACGCCAGAGCAGGGCGTCAGATCTCAGTACAGATGGTTGTGAGCCACCATGTGGTTGCTGGATATTGAACTCAGGACCTCTGGAAGAGCAGCCAGTGCTCTTAACCTCTGAGCCATCTCTCCAGCCCCCTGGCTTTTTTTTTTTTTTAATGTGTCATCTGAGAATGGAACTTGTGCTTGTAAGGCAGGTACCTTATGGACTGAGCCATTCTCTGACAAAACTCAGAAGGCCTTCTACTTCAATTTGAGATGGACAGGTGGACATTAAGTGAGGTGCTGGATGGTGAAGTGGGGCCATGTAGCTGTCACTGAATGTGAGGGCTGCACCAGGGATGTCGCAGTTGGGTTTCCATCTAAGTGAGCCATTCTGCTGCTGTGCACAGGGCCTTGAAGGAGCAGGTGCGGAGGGGGATGGGGCGGGGAGGGGGTGTGGCTCTGGAAGAGCTGTCCCAGCTTGGTCAGTGTCCTAGGCTAGGCCTGGTGTAGCTTAGAACTCGGCTTTTTCCACAGAGGGTGGAGGGAAGGCTTTGAGAGCTTTACCATGTGATTTGACCCTTGGAAGGAATGAGGGGGTCCCTCTACTGGGCCTTGGAGGCGGGCACACACTGATTCCCTATTATACATGACTTCAATGTTGGGCAGACCCAGGGTGAGCCCTTCTTCCCTCCCAACCTCCCTGCCCGTCTGTCCTTCTGCCCTCTCCCACTTCCCCTGCCTCCCGGCTCCTGCCTTTTTGTCCCCTCCTCCCTAGGGGCCTCCTATCTTCCCCTAACCCTCTTCCTCTCCTTCTGCTGCCAGGAGGGAACTAGGGTGTCACACATTCTAGGGAGGCTTTTGTCCTGAGTAATGCCCTCGGTACTCCTCCTTCCACTTGGAGCCAGGCCTCCTTGAGCTGAATTTACTCTGTGACCCAGGCAGGCTTTGAACTCACCATCCTCCCAGGTCAGCTTCCTGACTACCTAGGACACAGGTCCAGGCTCCTGGGCTAGGCTTTCCAGGAAAATGGACTTCCTGTTTGAACCTGGATGCTCTGCAGAGCTGGGCTGGTGTGCTGGGCCTGGCGCTGACTGAAGCAGGTGCCTGGGCAGCCTGTAGACCGCCATATCTTCACACAGCTTCACTCTGGCAACCTCAGTAGGGCAGTCATTTGAAATTACATCTGAATGCCTGGGTCTCCTGGGGGCTTGAGTGGTTTCTTTTCATTTCGCTGCATTTTGTTTTTCATCTTAGTGTCGTGTGTGTGTGTGTGTGTGTGTGTGTGTGTGTGTGTGTGTATAGGTGTGTAGGGAACAGAACCATGTTAAAGATGTGGCGCTCCTGTACCATATTTAATTTTCTTCTGCGTACAGTGTGCCAGGATGGTAATCTGAAGACTGAGAAGGGAGAGGGACGGGAGAGACTTTGATTTAGCATTACACTGTGGTCCTGGGAAAGGCAACCTTCTCCCTGAGCCCCAGTTTTCCCATCCATGACCAGACTAGATCTCTAAGGGCCTTTGATCATTGTTTGTAGGGTCTCAGGTGCCCTAGAAGGTTCAGAAGGTGGCTAGGGACAGGTCTTACACATGTGACTTGGGGCCAGATGGCCTTGTTAGGTTCATAGTCCAAGGCTTCTGGCTGGGTTGTTCTGCAAACTGTTTAACTTCCAGCTTTGGGGGAATCATAGAGTAGGGACCATGCAGGTGCTTTAGGTTCTGGTGATAGGGCTTGGGGTGTGGGGGCAACCCTGCATCTGGGCGCAGAGCTGGGTCACAGTCTCTTCCTATGCATCGTAGCTGTTAGCCTCCATTCATAAAGACTTGGTAGATGGTGCCCACAGAAGGCTCCAGAGAAGGAAGGGAAGGTTGGGGCTCTCGGGGTCCTGCACCCCAGCTCTCAAAGCTCTACTCTTCTGGTCTTCATATTCCCAGGCCCCAGAGCCTCTCCCACTGACAGCTCTCCAGAGAGGGTCTGGGTGTGACAGGCCCTCCCCACGCCCACACTCACAGGAGCATCAGAGGTTTGGGCCAGGGGTCTGCATGCAACCTGGCGGCCTCCCTGCCTCTCATTTTTGGTCTGATCTCCCAACACCGTCTTGGCAGCTACCCATCACTGATGCCTATCTCCTCCTGAGCATGGCCTGGGAAGCCTTGGACTGTGTCCTAAGCCTAATGTCCATCAACCCTGCAAACCACCCCAGGGCTGGGATCCCCAAGCCAGTGGTTCTCAACCTTCCTAACGCTGTGACCCTTTAATATAGTTCTCATGTTATGGTGACCCCTGCAACCATAAAACCATTTTTGTTGCTGGTTCATAACTGTGATTTTGCTACTGTAATGTAAATATCTTTGTTTTCTGATGGTCTTAGGTGACCCCTGGGAAAGGGTCCTTCAGCCCTCCCAAGAGGGGTCATGACCCACAGGTTGAGAACCGCTTTCCCAAGCTCTCTGGATATGGTGGCCTTGTTTTTGGGATGGGGGACAAGACCCTACATCGCAGCTGGGAAGTTGTGGCCTTCAGCTGGCTTCCCTGGATGGCATCGGCATCTCTCACAGTGGGTGGCTTAGAGGAAGGACTCCCGAGTTGGCCACTGTGACCATGACTAATTGGGGGCCTGTGACAGGGTCTTGAAGATGGCTGTGGTTCTGGAAACTGAGTGGGCAGTGGGTCCACGGTGGTGAAGACCTCCCCCTGGAAGCCGAGCACCGAGCAGGCTAGAGGTGGCTTGGCCCCTCGCCGTAGTGTTCAAAGGAAGGATGGTGGCTAGAGATGGCCACCATTTCTCCAGGGCCTGGTATATCCTAGGCCTTGTATGTGTTCTTTATAGGCTCCCCAACAACTCCAGATGACTGGGATTCTGTCCCTATTTCTAGATGAGGCAACAGGTTCATTGTCACGCAGTGAGTTGACGGCTGGGTTAGGTTGTGCCTAGGGTACATCTAGCAGACTGGAGGAGATGGTTCCCGGGGGGGTGTGGGTGT